GTAATTAGAAACTGTATATATGTTAGAGAAAAGCCTTTAAATAAAAATAAAGTTTCTACGTTGGCAATATAAAAAAATAATAATAATTTTTAATTTAATCAAGTATAGATACTATTCAAAAATAAGAAATTAAACTCTGAAAGCTTTTTTAATCTATTTATGAAAATCTAAATATTAAGTATACATGGTTGCTAATCTAATCATTTAAATTAATATATTGACATTATTTTAAAATTTCATTACTATAAATTTTACTTCTATTTTAGTTTAATTTTATATTTGTATCTAAAATTAATAATTTGATATAAAAATAAAAAGCTTACTTTCTAATAACTACTATATTTTTATATATATTTATAAATGCTATTCTAATAAATTCAATGGTCTTTTTTGAACTTACCAATTGCAGAAAATGCAATATTTTTTTTTATTTACAAATCAAATTAATTAAATAAGAAGTCTATAACTAATTTTAACCAGGAGTGATTTTATCTAGGTGATATTACCTATATATTTAACTGATTTTAACCAGGAGTGATTTCACCTAGATGATATAATAAATATTTAATTTAATAGTCTATCAAATTTATTATTTATTTTTTATTGATTTTTTTTTTACATTGATCACACTCTCTTTTTTTACATCCAAATAAACTTTTTTGAATACAATTAACTGCAATTTTTCAAATCCTAACTACCAAAATTCACATGCTATTTATTTACCATGAAGCCTAAAAAGTTTCATTACATTTCATTAGTTCCTTATTCTGACACAGGTCAAATGTTGAATATATCATCGTCGTTGTCTTATAATCATAATCAAATAAATAGCTCATTATTATTATCTTATAATAATAATCAAATAAATAGCTCATCATTATTGTCTTATAATTATAATTAAATAAATAGCTCATCGTTCTCTCACTTTAACATCTATGAACAGAATATTATACCCAACTTTTCACCATCTTGTTTTAATACATATGAACTTGATACAAACACCTTCTTACCTAGCTATGAGCATATTATTGTAAATGGTTCATCATTTTATCCAAATGCCTATAAGCACTATGATAAAGTAAATATAGTAAATACTTTGTCGTCACATTATTCTGGCACCTATGAATATGATAGTGTTAAGTCAACCTATGCTAATATCCAAAGCTTTAGTAATATGTTGACTGAATCAAATATTGAGACTCAACCAGAAAGTGCAGATAATGGAATTTTTGATAATAAGTACAAAGATAATGAGCACAAATATAATGAGAATGAATATAATGAGAGATAAGATAATGTGCATGAATATAATGAGCATAAATATAATGAGTACAAATATAATGAGCACAAATATAATGACTACAAAGATAGTAAAAATGAAGAGGAAGGAAAAGATAATTTATTAGTGTTATATGAAGGAATGAAGTTTAGTATATGAAAACTTGCTGAATCATACCTTACCGATTATGTAAAGCAGGAGGAGTTCAGCTTTCGAAGAGAAGATGGGTTTCTGACTCTAATGACCACACTATAACAAGATGGTGAACATATAAATATTCACATACTCGGATATATGAGCTTGAAAAAGCTATTCTGACAGAAGATAGAAGAGACAAAGATTCTGAAATGATCAATTGTCCTTGGTACATTAATTTGGCATTTTCTAAAACAGAGAAAGATGTTCATATTAACAGTATTTTAGAAAAACACAACCACAAATTGAACACTCTTGTTACTGAAATAGCACCAAAATATAGAAAGTTAATATATGAAATGTCTGAAAAAGTCAAATTTTGGACTATTCATGGAAAATTAGGTTTACCAACTCAATATAACTTGTTAGTTATATCATTTCCGGGCCAAGTTGTTAATAAGAAGGACTTAAGTAATGAAATTTAGTAGTTTAAAATTTAGGTAAAACTTAGTAAAAATGATGCATATAGAATGCTCAATGACTTATATTCAAAAAAAGAAAAAGACCCAATATGGATAGTTAAACTACGGTTTAATTCAAAGGAAAAGCGACTTAACTCATTGTTCTGGATGGCTCCCGATCAAATTAGAGCTTATGATGTTGTAGTTGTAGACACAACATCCAAGACCAACCAGTTTGACATAATATTAATGTTATTCATAGTGGTTGACAACAATTTCAGAAATTTAATTGTAGCATCAGCAATTATTGAAAACGAAACTGAATCAACATTTATCTGGATTTTGCAAGAGCTAAAAAATTCATGTGAAATTGCACCTATAGTGCTATATTCTGATGCTAATCCTAATTACTATCAGCTATATGAAAGAACTATTCAGATACATAATATCTCCATTGTATCTTCCACATAGATTTAAATTTAAGAAAGAAGCTTAAAAGTACATTACATGAACAATTCGGGCCTTTTTGTACTAGGTTTTTGGAGATGCATAATACTTTATGCTATAAAAAATTTGAATCAAAATGGGAAAACCTTATTAATGAATATCTAGCTTGCAAAAATTATCTTATGAATATTTTATACCCCTGTAAGACGAGTTGAGCAAGTTATACCATAAATTGTTATTTTATCGCGGGAATTCAGAGTACCTAGCGAGCTGAAGTAACCAATAAAATTATCAAAGATAAACTTAGTAAAACTTCACGACTAACTGATGTTATTGGAGAGATTCAAACAATATTTGATCAACAATCAAAAAGAGCAGTATTAGCTGAGTGCAAGAATGAAATACCAACAAAAAGTATACTGACTATAATGGAAGAATACTTCTCTAAGTTGGATATGATATTGAAAGAACATTTTATATTACAAATACTTCAGAAACAATGAAATCAAATGGCTCAGTTAATATGTTATAATGCTATATTAATAGATAATTGGTCAGCATTTTTGGAAGTAAGGATATTAAGTTAAAGTTAGAATTAAAAAGTTTGAACCTATTACTACAATTTTTTTTTTCACTTTAGACAACAGACGACTTTTACCAAGAAGAAATAGCTAGAGAAGATGACTATGATCAGCCTCAGTCTTTATTTTCTTCTTTGCTTGAAGATATATTTCAGGAATGTGTTCAAGAAGTTTGGAAAATTACTAAACATAGAAGACAGCAAACAGATCCACAATATATTATTATACTCAATGACAGCTCACACTTGTGTACTTGCCTTTGGCTTGTTAATCATGGTCTTGTGTGTAGATATTTCTTTCAGGTTATGTCTTATTTCGTTAATGCACAATTTCATATTACACTCTTTTCTAAACGTTGGTACAATAATAGTAAAGTTAACAAAGATAAGACATTTGTACCAATATATCAAATTAAAAAAATTGAGTCAAATAAGTTATCTCAACCATTATCATTTCAACACCTTGTGAGGTTTAAGCAAACCCCTAATGTTATACAGTCGCATGGCTCTAAACAAAAATACGGATTTGGTATAGAATATGCTAAAAAGGCACTTGACTTGGCTATTTGTGCTAATAAAGTTGATGATTTTGTTAATGAGATTGAACATTTTATTGAAAAGACTAAGTAGAATATATCTGATCAAGACAAAAATATCAATCCAACAAATGTTGAAGATGTTATCGTTAGAGATCCATTATGAGTATAACACAAAGATCGGCAACCTAAAAGATATAAGTCTGGTGGTGAATTGCCAAAAAAGACGACTAGAAATAAAAAGAGGGGAAGGCATTGCCAAAAGTGTAGGCAAACTAGCCATTATGCTCCATGATGCTCAAATTAAGTGGTATAATGATAGATATAACAATGTATCGGTATTAATTTTTATGTAATACATAATAATAACAAAATGTAAATGAAAGCAGGTATGTTAAGTTAGAGAAAACATTCAAATGCTAGCACTTTACCAATGTAATATATAGGTTAGCATAGTTAAAAATTTGGTTGCTTGTCATTTATAAAAAATTTCTAGTATTACAATATACGTATATACTAAGCTTTGACTTTGTATCAAAGGTTTGTATAATCTAATATAAAAATTTAGTAAGTATACTAGAATACGTACAGTATGTAAGCTATATGTAGCAAGATATATAAGTAATCTTTATACATATGCATATATAGAAAACTAAATTTTTGGGTCAGAATAGCTAGAATGTATTGAGGTTAGAATAGGTTAGAGTTATACTAGTTAGCAGGATAGTATTATTAGCTAGGCATTTTTACATAATGAACAACTATGGTTTCATTAGTAAAATTCTTATTCTGACCCAGATCTTTTGTATGCTATAAAAGATCGATTATATATACATACGTACATACTAAGTGTTTATGAGTTTATTATACAATATTAATGTGATTTATAAATGCATATTTATAGAGTTTACTAGAACGGCCCCAATATTATATGCCGTGGTAGCTGTAACAATAATGTTAATTATTAGCAAACTTGTTATTATATAAAGCTATCATGTAGTGCTACCTACCGGGGTATTCTAAAAGTTCTTATACTTAAAAGTGACCTTATATAGAGGTCACGATGATTATTTATACAGAGATCATGTATAGGAACTTTTAAAATATCTGATATTAGCTATAGACTTGTATAAGTAGTATACAGTTGGAGCACAGGGTATGATTTCAAATCATTACATAGGCACAGGGGTGTAATACCAAATTAACATATGTATAAAGTTGTGAATATCAATTATATGTAATGTTTACTAATTATTTTTACATGATGTTTTAAGATATTATACCATGCCCTATGTGAGGATTTTTTGTGCCCAGTATATAATAACATAAAAATATTTATATAATAATACAGTATAATATATACTATATATAGTATTTATATATGCTCCAGGTCTCTTGAGCATCATGTACCTAGTCCTTAAAAACATCAGTACAAAAATGAAAGAAGCTTGTACAAGGCTTCTGTCAAAGTGTATAAAGACTGGGAATATTTCTCTAAAATGGAAAATTGGAGTTTTATACTTGATTCCTAAAAGAGAAGATTGAAACTATGATTTGAATAATGTATGCCCTATTATTCTTCTAAAGAATGTCTGGAAAGTGCTAAGTAGGGTGATAATGAAAAGGCTAGGACAGGTTTTTAAGAAGCACAGCATACTCAAA